AAAAATGAATCTGTCGACAGGTTTGGAATTTTATCTTTGAAACGCCATACTTTTCTTTGAAATCGCTTTATTAGTTCTCGTGCAATAAGCGTTTTTGTGAAGCTCTAAAAATTACAACTACAACATTTGAACATAGCCCCCATACCTTAAGGTAAGACGTATTCTACGTCAAAATAAAAATTCGCTCAGAGCGAGAGAGTAACATTGAAAAGTACGGGATCGCTTTCTAGTAAAAAATGGTAACTTCTGTCAACTTCAACATAACCTCCAAATTTTGGTTGTAAATTTTTGCTTATTTTGTATGTAAACACACTCAGTTCACACATGTAAATAACTAAAAGTACTTTCAAATTCATTAGAATCCACTTAAACAAGTAATTAAATACTTTTCAACATGAATTAGCAGACTGCACTTCTCTTTTGTTTACAATTTGGTTGCCAAACACACTACAGCTGGTCGTTTGACACATTTACCAGCAAAAAATTCTCGGACTAAAACTGGTAACTTCTGACAGAGAGAGAACCGTATTTACACTTTTTTTGTCCTCTCAATAGTCAGAGAACCGAGTACGGGATCGATTTCCAGTAAAATCTGACTGATTCTGACTAGTCTGGACTCGTACGGGATCGCAACTAAGATGGAGGAAAACTAGTGCTGCCACTCTATTAATACAATTTGAATCTCAACTTTAAAAACACCCAAATAATGCACAAGAAATATACTTGTGTGAAAAGGGGATTTCTGTTCCTTTTCTTCGCATGTTCTGAGGGTTATAATCCCTAAGCGCGGCCGAAGGCCGCCTACGCAGAAAAGTGTTCTCTGCAAAAGGTGTTCTGCCCCTTTTCTTTGGCAACACAGAAAGGAGAATTTTACGTTGTGAGGGTTATAATCCCTAAGCGCGACCGAATGCCGCCTACGCAGAAAGAAGTTGGACGGACAATAACTTTTTTAATACAGTGGCAGCAGCAATTTAGTTCCATTTTCTTTTTAATATTAACTACGCAAGATTGTTGTGCGGATTTTCACCATCGGAATATTCCTATTAAATACAGAATTTCGCGAAAGTGTACACTTAAAACATCACAAATGTATAACAACTAATAAATACGTGTTAAATTAAGTTCATTTATTCCATTCATTTGCGTGAAATTCATAAAAACATAGTGCGGAAAGTGCGAGTGTTTTTTGCAAATAACTCTTTAATTAATTAAAAATGTTAATCTCCGGTCTCGGATTGTTATTATTGGCGTTAAGACGCGTCGATTGATACCACTCTCGAACTTTTTCCGTCCATTTTGACCTACCTTCGCTAAAGTGCACTTTTACCCGGGAGTCTACATAACTTGAGACTGATTCCCTGTGAATGCCGTTCAGGGCCTGTCGGTAGGTTGACGGGTCCAGAGGTTGTTTGATATACCTCTGGACTTCGTCTGTCAGTTCGTAAAGACGCTTCCTGACGTGCCGTGGCGAGGGCCCTTCCGCGAGCAGTTGCCCGCTGGGATGGCTACGTCTGTGGCCTCGTCATGAAGGTAGCGCTGAGGCGTCATCAGGAGGCATCCTGTCGCAGTTCGTAATGCCGTGTTTTGGCAGGCCTGTAGCTTCATCCACTGCGTCCTGCTAGTCCCCGGCGACCATACGGGCGCTGCGTAGTTTAGAACCGGCCGGCCAATTGCCTTGTATGTTGCCAACAACGTTTCTTTATCTTTGCCCCAAGTGCAGCCGGCCAGCGACTTGAGGACATTGTTGCGGCTCTGTACTTTGTTGACAATTGCGGTTGTATGCGCCGAGAAGGAGAGCAGACTGTCGAGGGTAATTCCGAGGATTTTTGGGTTATTCACCGTCGGTATTGTTACGCCATCGACGTAAATACCCAGTCGCAGTCTGACCTCCTTCGTCCAGGTGGTGAAAAGGGTTGCCGAGGATTTCGCAGGGGATAGGGCAAGGCTCCTTGCAGCGAAGAAGCGAGAAAGTTCAGAGAGGTAACCGTTTACTTTCCAGCACAAGTCATCAATCCAATTCCCAGACGTTATGATCGAACAATCGTCAGCATACGAGACTATATTAACACCCTCTGGTGGCTGAGGAAGCTTTGACATGTAATAATTAAACAGTAGCGGGGACAGGACACCACCCTGTTGTACCCCCTGTTTAATTTTACGTGGCTTGCTAGTTTTGTCTCTGAAAATTACTGACGAGTGTCGGCATGCCGGTCGATTCAAGCAGTTTGTCATACTTAAAGAGCTAAATAAATCACACAAGCTGTTGATTAAACCTACTTTAGTATTTCTCCATACACTTCTTTGTAGATGAAAAATAAATTTCAACTTAAATATCGATATTGCGGGTAAAGTATCGATGTTTTCGATATATCGACCTTGGAACAGCGATTCAAAAAATCGATTATCGTGCGATGAAATATCGATATTCAGAAAAATTGATACGACACCGAACATTCCTACATGAAACCAAAGAATGTAAATCTATGGCTGCGTTTCTTTATACATTCCGGATAATCCCATTTCACAGCCGGAATAAACAGAATGCTTTTGAAATATACGTTAACATATCTCAGGAACGTTCTAAAGAATAAGTAAACAAAAAAGTTTATTCCAAACGTTCAGAATGAATAAAGAAATTCAGCCTATGAGGAGACAACACGTTATAATTGTAGCGAGTGTGTACATCAGGAGCATGCCCTCTCTTTTCATCCAATCACAAAACGCATTTGGGCAAAAGAGAAAGCACGCCCCTGATGTTCCCACTCGTTACAATTATAACGTGTTGTCTCTCCTTATAGGTTTAAGCTGAAACTAGTCAAGAACGTAAACCTACCGGTACGTAAACCCGAGTCAGCTGACACGATGTCTTACCAAAGCGCCTTGTAAATAAAATTTTTCTGTAGTTGTAGCCCGTAGCGCAGAAATCTGCGGAATTAAATTTTTCCGTGCCAGCTGATTTCTCCTCCTTTAGATGGTTGCCACTTCGTCAGTTTTGCAGATGGTAAAAACGTTATAAGTTCCTATTCAAAATATGTTTAAAATATTTGAAATTTACTATTAAATAAGATTTTTGTTGAAAACTAAGTAGTTTACATTCAGCTACAATCTATTATAGCACGAAAAATTGTGGTTGAAAGGGTAAGTTTATGAAAAGGCATTGAAGAGTGGCAACAGTGTAGTAAGCAACACTGAGGGCTCCAGTAATCGACAAAATTCTGCGTATACAGACTGCGTTTAAGTATACGTTCTGCGTTCTCGACTAATTTCAGCTTAACATTCTTTGATGAAACCCACCAAAAACTAAAAATCGAAAAAAAAAATTTACATACGACACTTGTCAAGTGGACTACTCAGTTGTTGAATATGCTATCTTATTTGCCCCTTTTTATACAATTAAGGAGCGGCTGAATGGCTTAACGATGTTAGCGGTACATAATGATGTGCCGATTACAACACAAAAAGTAATCGAAAAAATGAGTGTAAGCAACGAAGATTAAAAATCGCTTTATAAGTTATAAGATTTTGTAGACTTGTACATAAATAAATAAATACGCGTAAATATATAAATATACAGATATATTCAATGTGTAAAAACTGAAGTGTATACTAACGAAACTTCTACAAAACAAAACTGGACTACACACTAATTAATTAAAATGGTGTAGTAATTTAATTTTTTAAACTAAAATAAAGCATGAATTCCCCATGGAATAACCGAGTAGGCAAAAAATATATAACGGTAAAAATGGTACATAATGGTACAAATTTTTTTTAATCGCCCCTTCGCCAAATCCTGGCTACGCCACTGGTAAGGCTCATAGTTGTTGTTGTTGTAGCGGTAAGGCTCATAGTCCCTAAGCGCGGCCAAAGGCAGAAGCAAGCGCATCAGGTGGTGGACCCAACAAAGTGCATGGTTTTAATTGCTTGGACGAAGCTGTTATTGCATTAACTTGGATAGAAAACCAGTTTTTGAGGCATAGGAGTTTTGGCTTGTGGTTCAACAATTCCACCAGAAGCTGACATAGATGCGCCCATGGTTACTATGCAAGACAGCTCCGCATACCTTTGTGAATCCACTGCCATAGCGCGCTCTTACTCCGCTACTATAATTGCCAATGCATCAGAATCCATAATTTTCCTCAAAATATGTAAACTCAACCAATTTCACAATAAACAAGCACATGATAAGTGTTTCTTTAATTCTTTTCCATTTTGTTTTCCTTCATACAGCTGACTTCGAAAAACAACTGATAGCTGGCAATGCTGCAAATTTTTCGGCAAGGATTGCAGCATGTCGGGTTCTAGAAGAAGGATGTTACATTAGCTGCATTTCTTTTTGTAAGCGAGCGACAAAAGAACGCTCAACTCGGGTAAAATTTCCTTTTAGGTAGTTAAGCAACCCTGTTGGTGGCTGGTAAGAAACGCGTGATTAGTTTAACGGGATTTAGATACAGGAACCAATTTAAGTGAGTAATTTTGCGAAGTATTTGCGTAATATATATATATATATATAATATAAGTCACGTATATAAGGATAATATAATTCACGTATATAAGTATATTATAAGTCAAGTATATAAGGAAACAAAAATTTCCCTCTCCGCTTTCCCATTAACAATTCACAATAGAGCAGTTTTTTCACTTACCAACACTACCCTTCAGGTCGCGTATTTTTTAACCGACCTGGCTAAGCTGGGATAAATAGCGGAGTTTGTGTTGTTGCTTTGCGTGTATTTACTCATTGAAGCGAATGTTCTTTTGTAGCTCGATTGCAAAAGATGCACCTATTGTGTACGATCAATTTATTTTATACGGATTTTATACCAACATATATATGAAATGTCAACAACGAAATCTATGAAGGCTCAACCATCGTTGTCTCCAGATATATGTATGTAGTCTGTAGAGATACTACGCCTCTACCAAAAATGTACGTATTTTTTTGCTAATCAAAACTAAAAATATTCTTTTACCTTAAAGAAAAAATTACTCTCCATCTAACATTTCTTTTATATATAATAAAATACGCATGAAATTACATAAATCGATGTATAACTAAACTCAAAAATCATAATATAATAATCATTTATTCCTTAATAATAAGATCTTTTATGGAAGACCATAGCTTTTACCAAATTCAATGGTCCGTAGTTATAGCCGACACTTAAGTTAAAAGAAGCTTTTTGACATACGTACATAACTTTCAATGGGATATCTGTCAAAAAAGCTGTTTTTATCTTTGGAGTCGACTTTATTTTGACTATAACTACAAGCCAATCGTGAAAACAACTTTCAATATCTTAAGTTACCCATACATATATACTTAATTTCGACGTATTCATCTATACCATGATGACAACCTTCACGCCCTATGCCTGATTCTTTGACACCACCAAAAGGAGCTTCGGCGGCAGAAATCAGTGCTTCATTCACCCCCACCATTCCCACTTCCAGAAGCTTCGCTACCCGAAATACTTGTTGTATATTTTCACTGAAAAAATACCCAGCCAGTCCCCGCCTGGAATTGTTAGCAGCATGTATAACTTCTTCTTCAGTATTAAATTTCATAATGGAGACAACAGGTCCAAAAACTTCTTCTGTATATAATTTGGCATTAGTTGGTACATCTGTGATTATAGTTGGAGAGTAAAATAAATTCCCCAAGTTCTTTAGCGGTTTGCCTCCTAGTATTATATTAGCATTTTTTAAACGAGCATCCTCTACGTATGCACTAACCTAAACTTGATGATTTAAATTAGAATATTTTTTTGTTAAATTGATGTTATTTACCTTATTAAATTGCATACTATTTATAAGTGGCCCAATTTGAATACCCGGTTTAGAACCGTCACCAACTTTCAAAGATTCGACGCGCTGCTTTAGTAAATCTATGAATCCGTCGTGTACTTCTTGCTGCAAAAAAAAGCGATTTGCTGATATGCATGTTTGCCCACAGTTACGAAATTTACATGAAACGGCAGCGTCAACGGCCTTATCTAAGTTTGCTGAGTTAAATACAATAAATGGGGCATTGCCACCTAATTCCAATGATATGCGTTTAATTCCATCAGACGAATTTCGAAATAGCAATTTCCCTACTTCTGTTGATCCTGTGAACGATATACCTTTTACATCTGGACTTTTGCAAAACAAGTCGCCTATTGGAGGTGCTTTATTTGTTGTAACAATATTTATAACGCCGGCTGGAAAACCGGCTTGCTCTGCAAGTTTAACAAGGGCTAAAGCTGTTAGCGGTGTGTCCTCCGCCGGTTTGATAACTATAGTGCAACCTATTAAAAAAATGAGATGAAAATAGTTATTTTAGTACATTCGTATTTATTTTAAAAATTTTATCATGCCGAAACTAAATTAAAATACATATTTCGCGTTTACACTTTCGCTAAGTGTTTGGCCAAAAATTTGGGGTGTGCGTTATGATGTTATAACACAAATGGAGGGACCTACAATTTTACGCCCCCTCTGGACGGCAAACGGGTTTTCAAGGCAGAAATACGTTCTGAGGTTTGCCATTGCCTGCAGAGGCGACCGCTGCTAGAAAAACCCTTTTATTTTATATGCCGCTCGGACCAGCAATCGAACCCAGGCTCTACAGAGTAGAAGTACGCACCTCTAACCACTCTGATATAGGGACCTAAAACTTCAACCGTACATACACTATTAACACTAGAAATACCAAAGCGGTTAAATGACCGCAATCACATTTTTGATTGAACATATTACTAGAACTATTGCATTAGCATCGCTAACGTTTCATGACTTTTAATAATCCGACTTTGTTACGTTGTTCTGATATATTTATAATGATATATAAAAATGATTAATTATGTACCTTGAAAGGCCATGGCCGTGAATGCACGTGTGGTAAGTTGGACGAAAATTTTGGTGTTTTCCCTTCCACCAAAAAATTTCGCCTTTTCATTGCCCCTTTCTCTTTCGCGATTACAAAATAAAGGGAAACGGTGAGAAAAGTTTGTGTTCGTTTCTTAAAATGGCATTCTTGTAAGGCAAGAAAAGGCACATTCTCTGTCCTTAGAAGCTTTGTCAGGGGAAACGGTTGCCCTGCAAATCAGATGGTTGCTTAAACCGACAATTTTATGGAAGCTAGGCAAGGACCAGAAGGCAAAAACATGCCCTTTTAGAGGATGGAGTATAACATCAAACACATTTTGCACCGTGGAAGGGCTTTATTTTTTGGAACAATCGAAATCACAATTATTTTTCAGCATTTATACATGAATTTTGTATGTTACTTTAATGAGTAAAACAAAAATATGAAATCATTAATTCTGATATGCTTATAATGATATCATACCTTGAAAGACCGCGGTTGTCATTTGATCGCAATGCTTACATTTTATTAAAAGCATGGGTGGGTAGTTGAATGAAAATTATTTTTCTACACTCATTCATTATTTTTGTATGTTACTTAAATTTAACAATGAATAAAACCAAAATATTAAAACATTCGCATAAAGCATTGATTAAACGTCTTAGGCCCAATTTCAGATGGCATACTTAAGTAGAGATTGTTAATTAACTTCCACTATTTATTTTCAGATCAAACATTAAATCTGCACTTAAATAGCCAATATTGGCTACAAGGCGGATTTATACAAAGAGGCGAATTTAGATTTTCGTCGCGGTCCTTCTAAATGTCAAAATGATGTGCTATTTAAAAATGACATATGCAACCCTGAGTATGTACCAAACAACCAAGATTGATTGGCAGGTTGTTTAATTAATTTCTCTAAATCCCACCAAAAAACAGTCAGGTGTCCAGCACAAAATTTAAAGAAACAAGCAAATGCAAAAACAATTTCAAGGAACAGGCAGCAGTGCTCTCAATTGTTTGGCATATTTAAACAAAGTTGATCTGAAACCCAACAAAAGCTAAATGGCATTTAAACAACAATCCACATTTAAACTTAAGTGCCGTTTAAATATTCATTTGAAATTGGCCCTTAGTACGTCACCGCTCTTGGTCTTTCTAGGTAGTTCTAAGTTTCGTCTATCTGGTCCGAATAGTCGCCCCATTTCGCTTTGGCGTTTGCTTCGCGTTGACAGCTGAGATAAATAAATGCATTTATATGAATCAAATAATCTTTTTGCATGCGCTGAAACCAGTTGATGCCACCGGTGTTGCCGCGAATAATTTTTAGTGGTAGCCAAATGCTTTTAAAAAAAGGGCTAAAAATAAAAAAAAAAATCGTTGTGGCCAAAAATGGTAGCTACTTTTTAATTTGCTAATATGCATGCATGCATACATAGATTCCCTTCAAGACCAATGCTTTGATGGTATTCACGGGAAAGTTTATGTAGGTGCATTTACATATTTTACACTTTTAACATAAATGTCAAGGCAGATATTTTAAGATACACTTCTTAACAAACAAATTCTTTTAAGTTATTATGAATAGATAAAAGAGACATCTTCTTTGAATTCAGTACTTAAACTTGACATTTCAAGTGCTTATCAAAACTTTATACATGTTAACTAACGGGTGATTTTTTTGAGGTTAGGATTTTCATGCATTAGTATTTGACAGATCACGTGGGATTTCAGACATGGTGTCAAAGAGAAAGATGCTCAGTATGCTTTGACATTTCATCATGAATAGACTTACTAACGAGCAACGCTTGCAAATCATTGAATTTTATTACCTAGAAAAGTTGGCAGAAAATCCGCTTTTTTATCGACAAATTTTGTTCAGCGATGAGGCTCA